ACAGCCCCTCAGTTGACCCGGCACAGGTGGACGAGACAGAGGTAGGTAGCGGTTGGAGCTCGCCCATACCCTGCGATTCCCCAATCCCCTATGCAACATCCTCGGCGATGTCGGATGCCATCAGGGGTACGGCCCCGTCCGACGGGGCGACGGGCCCGGTAATACCGAGTCCCCCTATAAACGTCCCCTAGCCAGAGGGAAGAAGATAAGCTGGACTCCCCGAACAATCGCCACCGTATCTCTCTAACTTGATCGTCGGAGGGGTCGGGTCAAGCCGACCCGACCTTTGTGTAGGTGTCAAGCCGAGGTCTCCCGTCCGGGACGCGCAGGCGAGGAGCCCCCGCCCGGAGGAAGTCGCCACATCGCCCCGAGTCCGAGGCCGCACCCGACCACCTCAGCGGAGACGAGCATCGCCCCCGGGAGATCCCCACCATTCGGACCCCCGAACAAGCTGAGACGACCTCCCGGGTCACGGCTAAGAAAAAAAGGGTGTTTACCCTAACATAATGGCGCTAGAAGGAGGGCCGGTCCGAATGTCAAGCGATCAACAGGCTCACTCCGACGGACCCCCAGCCATCCGGTCGCACACGACCGACGCAACGGAAGACATCCCCAACAGGAGGGGGTTCGGGACGAGCGCCCCGCTGCGATCTCGGAGCGCTATTGGCGATTGTTCAACGATCCGGGTCTATCGCCACCCATCGCCAATCCCGGTGGCCCGTCACCCGTGCCACCCGAAGCCTTCTACGACCTTACGCACCAGGTCCGGGCTCTTACGGGAGTGATGCAGACCATCATCCCGCTGGTCTCTCCCCCGACGTCTTCACACTCAATCCTACCTCCACCACGGCAACGGCCCGCCGCTCAAAACCCCGCACCGCTCCCCGAGTCTCCCGTTTCGCCTCCGGACCAATCGACCCAACCCGGGAGCCGAGGAACGGAGGAACCAGCGGCGCACCCGACGCCCGTGGCCCCACTTTTAGACTCGGCAGAGGGCCTGTGGGCCCAGCTACGCCTCGTAGGCCGCTGGCTGGACGAGGTGCAGCGTGAGGTTCGCCGGACCAGGGGAGACCCGGGGGCTGAGCAACACCAGGGGTCCCCCTTCACCCCCGAGATTCAAGAGCAAGCAATCCCGCCGCATTTTCGGCTCCCGTCATTAGATGCCTATGACGGTGCCACCGATCCGGCGGACCACGTAGCTGCTTTCCGCGCCCAAATGGCGCTATACGGGACGTCCGATGCCCTGATGTGCAGGGCGTTCCCGACAACCCTGCGGGGCCCAGCCCGAGCGTGGTACAGCAATCTGAAGACCGCGACCATCGCCTCTTTCGACCAGTTGGCCAGGGACTTTGAGCTTAACTTCCTGGCTCATGCCAAGCCGAAGCCGTCGGTGGCGATACTCCTCGGGCTCAACCAAAGGGAGGATGAGCCCCTTTCTCACTTTGTGAACCGCTTCACCACACAAATCCGCGGGCTGTCTGATGCTCACCCTTCTTTGATGATGCAGGCATTCATGATGGGCCTGCGCCCTACCCGATTCTTTTGGTCTCTGGTGGAGCGACCCCCCACTTCGGTTCCCGAAATGTTGCAGCGTGCGAACCAGTACATCGCTGCTGAGGCATGGATGGTCGGGAAGCGCGACGAGCGCAAGAGGGTCAAGCCAGAGCAGTCCCAACAACAACAGCCCGCTACCTCTCGGCGTAGGGCCGGCGGCCTCAACGATGCGGCACCTAGGTCCCCTCCCCCGGGCCTGAACTCCTCTCGGACCGAAATATTTCTCCACATTAAGGAGAAAGGCCTTCTCAAAGACCCCTACCCGATGAGAAGCCCGCGCGAACTCGCGGACCGCTCTAAATACTGTCGTTTCCACCGACAGCCTGGTCACGACACCGAGGAGTGTCGAGAACTAAAAAGGCAAATTGAGGAGCTCATCCGCCGAGGGCACCTCGGCTCATACCTCCGACCAGATAAGGAGCTCTCGCCACGCCCGGAGGGCCCCATCGAGCGACACATAGATGTCATAACCGGCGGACCAGCGTCCGGAGGGAGTTCCATGGCGGGCGGAAGGGCATACGCCAGGGCCTCCCGGGCTGAAGCTTCCAAACATGAAAAAGGCCCCGAAGTCACCTTCCCGACCGGGGAACCTGAACCAGCCGAACATGATGACGCGTTGGTAATATCAGCCAGAATCGCCAACGCGCAAGTGAGAAGGATCATGGTTGACATTGGGAGCTCGGCCGATATACTTTATTGGGACGCCTTCCAAAAGCTCGGCCTGGTAAAGGAGAACATGAAGCTGGTACGCTCAACACTCACGGGGTTCACCGGCGCCTCAATCTCGTCACTAGGGGTCATCACCCTGCCCCTAACTTTGGGAGTCTTCCCGAAGGCAAAAACAGTGATGACCTCCTTTCTGGTGGTCGACCTCCCCACGGCATACAACGCCATCCTCGGACGGCCAACCCTCAACAAGACCCGAGTCGTCATCTCAACGTACTACCAAACCATCAAGTTCCCGACCCACGATGGGGTCGGGGAAGTGGCGGGGAACTCCTGGGAGTCCAGGCGCTGCTACTTGACCGCTGTGTCACTAAACAAGAGAGCGAGGGTCCAATCCCCGCTGGAAGACCCCTGGGAGGGAAAAAAACCGACCCCCCGCCCCGAGCCGAAGGAATCCACCATCGACTTGCCACTGATCGAAGGAAGGCCCGACCAAACAGTCAAAATCGGGTCGGGACTGCCCGAACAAGAGCAACAGCAGCTCGTCGGCCTTCTGCGAGCCAACGCCGACATCTTCGCTTGGACGCCGACTGACCTAGTCGGAGTCCACCCGGAAGTCACGCTGCACCACTTGAACATCTCGTCCGACGCCCGCCCGGTAAAACAAAGACCCAGGCGGCAGGCTCCGGATCGGCAACTGGCCATCCGAGAAGAGGTAAACCGACTTCTAGCGGCCGGTTTCATAGAAGAGGCAAGGTACCCATAGTGGCTCTCCAATGTAGTCCTTGTCAAAAAGCCTAATGGAAGCTGGCGGATGTGCATTGACTACACCAGTCTCAATAATGCTTGCCCAAAAGATTGCTACCCCCTACCGAAGATCGACCAGCTAGTTGACGCCACGGCCGACCACGCCCGTCTTTCGTTTATGGACGCATTCTCCGGGTACAACCAGATCAAGATGGCACCCGAAGACCAAGAACACACAGCCTTCCTCACCGAGCAAGGGATATATTTTTACAAAGTCATGCCGTTCGGGTTGAAAAATGCCGGGGCAACCTACCAGAGGACGGTGAACAGGATATTCGCCCATCAGATTGGACGAAACATGGAGATATATGTCGACGACATGATCGTAAAGAGTCGAACGGCGGAGGCCCATCCTTCCGACCTAGCTGAAACATTCGACACCCTGCGAAGGTTCGGCCTGCGCCTCAACCCCGCCAAGTGCGCCTTCGGCGTGACCTCAGGAAAATTCCTCGGATTCATCATACATGAGAGAGGGATTGACGCCAACCTGGAAAAGATACAGGCCATCATTGACATGCAGCCTCCTCGGACGATCAGAGACCTGCAGCGCCTTAACGGGAGGCTAGTCGCGTTATCACGTTTTCTTTCCCGATCGGGAGATCGTTGCCTCCCCTTCTTCCAGGCCCTGAAGGATCCGAAGAACTTCCGATGGACGACGGAATGCGAGAGGGCCTTCGAGCGGATGAAGCAACACCTGGCCAACCTCCCCCGACTCACTTCAGTCTCCCCTGGGGAGAAACTGAGTCTCTACCTCGCCGCCTCCCAGCACGCGGTCAGTTCGGTTCTGGTCAAAGAAAATTCCAGCGACCAACTGCCGGTCTACTATGTCAGCCACATGCTGAGCGGGCTAGAAGAACGCTACCCGCCAATCGAAAAGCTGGCGCTGGCGCTCGTCCTGTCGGCGCGAAAACTCCGCCCTTATTTCCAGGCCCACACGATAGAGGTAATAACTGACCAGCCGCTCCGGCTTGTTCTGTCTAAATTCGACGTTGCAGGGCGTCTCCTCAAATGGGCAGTGGAGCTCGGCGAGCACGACATACAGTATATACCGCGGACCGCCATCAAAGCACAGGCCGTGGCAGACTTCATTGCGGAGCTGACCCCGAGCACAGGCGAGGAACTCGAGCCACCGCGTGAGACGTGGACCCTCCACGTAGATGGGTCGGCCAACGCAAAAGGCGCCGGCGCAGGGCTGGTGCTGGAGACACCTGACGGCCGCTCGATCGAGCGCTCCTTCCGCTTCGGGTTCAGGGCCACCAACAACGAGGCAGAATACGAGGCTCTCCTGGCGGGGCTCCAGTTGGCACTGGAAATGCGGGTGACCGACATACGCGTCATCACCGACTCACAGCTGGTGGCTAGGCAGCTCGACGGCGGATACGAAGCCCGGGACCCGACTATGGCGAAATATCTGGCACAGGTAAAAAGCCTTGCCACCAAGTTCGCCCATTTTGAATTGTCGAATGTTCCCAATAGCGAGAACCAGCGAGCCGACACCTTGGCAAAATGGGCGTCCGGCTCGGCCCCCTGGGCTCGACCCGAGACCGAAGTGCTCCCCCACCGAGCCATAGAGGTCATCGCCACGGTCACGGGCGGCGCGCCGGCCACTTGGGTACAGGAGATGCTACGCTTCAAGAGGGATGGGGCCCTACCCGACAATGAAACCACAGCTCGACGCTTGCGTCGGACGCAGGCATGGTACGTCGAAGAGGAAGGACGGCTGTACAAGCGGTCCTTCTCGCGCCCCTTGTTACGCTGCCTAGAGCCGAACGAAGCTCGGACCATTCTGTCCGACATGCATGAAGGGGCCTGCGGGGTACACATAGGCGAACGAGCCCTAGCGCACAAGATACTCCGACAGGGGTACTACTGGCCGACCATGCGCCAGGACGCGAAAGCTTTTGTGTGGCGGTGCGGCTCATGCCAGGAGCACGCCCGCACCGCCCGACGGCCAGCGGTCCTGTTCACCCCCGTCGACTGTGCCTGGCCATTCGCGCAATGGGGACTGGACATACTCGGGCCTCTCCCACCCGCCTCCGGCCAGCGGAAATACATCATCGTGGGAGTGGACTACTTTACCAGGTTGGTCGAAGCCGAGCCCCTAGCGACCATTACGGAGTCACAAGTGGAAAGGTTCGTGTGGAGAAACCTCATAACTCGGTTCGGCCTGCCCCAGTCCATCGTCACCGACAATGGACCTCAATTCGCCGACAGGAGATTCCAAGAGTTTTGCGCCAAGCACAAAATTCAGCTGAGGTTCAGCTCGGTGGCTTACCCCCAAGCGAATGGGCTAGCTGAGGTAACCAACCGGTCCATCGTCGACGACCTCAAAAGAAGGGTATCCGCTGCCCGATCGGCTTGGATCGACGAGCTCCCGAGCGTCCTATGGGCGCTGCGCACTACCCCCAAGACCCCGACCGGGGAGTCTCCCTACAGCCTCACGTTCGGGACCGAGGCCGTATTGCCATCCGAAGTAGCCATCCCGACTCCGCGGACGGCAGACTACGGCGAAGAGGCCTCGGGAGAAGGGCTCCGATTCAACCTGGACCTGCTCGAGGAAAGACGGGCCGACGCACACCAGAAAGCCCTTTCTTACAAAAGAGCCGTAGCGAGGGTCTACAACCGGAGGGTACGACCCCGATCAATAAAATTAGAGGACCTGGTCCTGCGCAAAATCGAGGTCAACCGCCCAACCCAAGCAAGGGGGAAACTGACCCCGAAGTGGGAAGGACCCTATCGGGTCATCGGAGTATCCCGACCGGGGACGTTTCGACTCGCAACAATGGATGGCGACCCCGTGCCCCGGACTTGGAACATACAGAACCTTAGGAAATACTTCGTCTGAAGATGTAGGCACTACGCAAACATAGAAAACGGAAGAAAAGATCATTTTATTAAAAAGGAGGGGATACAAAACCATAAACCATGAGGAACAGAAACCAAACTCATACAAAACCCCTCACTCCCTCGACCTCGACTCCGACATACAAAAAACAAACACTCATCACTCTCCCGGAGTCCGCGGGCGGTCGTCGAATGGCACGTCCTCCG